TACTCGTACGAATTAACATGACACCTGACACACTCTATTATTCCAAAATTAAAATTTCATCAATTTTCGAAATGCTAATACAACTCCATAGAATCGCAATATCCGGTAATTTATAATGAAACGGAGGTAAGACTTAACACCGCTTCTGATGCATCGAAAATCTTTTTGTAGGTATAAAGATTTTAACAAAATTATAAGAAAAAAAATTATTTTAAATTTTCCTAATCTTGGTTGACGATAAAAAGAATAAAGTCTCAGGTGTCATGTTAGTTCGTACGAGTAGTATGTTTTAGGTATAAACTATTATGAGAGATTTTTTGGTATATCTTCAATAATATCGACATTACTTGAGGTAACAATGTAATATTTATAATTTAAAATGTCCAACATAATGAGGGCTAACGCGTTTGAATTTGTCACAAGAGGCGCTAGTGTAGCGTGAGGTCTTCAAAATGTCAAATATCCTACTTTGTTGTTGAACTACGTGAGATTACGAGCATTTCTTTTTAAACAAATGAATTTTGCTCTTACTTTGAGGGACCTGCGATTTATTAATTGTGAATTATGGGTCAATGAATGTCAGTGGTTTAAAACAGAGCTAAAAAAAGGTTCAAATATAAGCAGGATGAATGAACAGCTAAATCAGAGGTTAGTGTATATTGGGCATGTTAGATATTTTAATAAAATGATTTATTTATGTATTATTATTATTTATGTATTACTACTATGTATGATTTAAGTTCAATCTCGTAGTAAACAAACATTGATAGGACCTCTCGCAACTGTCCTGTCATCTGGTGAGCGAAAAAACTATAGCTCTCATTTTAATAAGTGTACGTCCTTAGGAATATATATATATATTTTTTAGAACTTATCAAAAGAAATTGTTAATGCAAAAAGAAACTATGTTTCCGCCCGGGATCGAACCGGGGACCTTGTGCGTGTGAAGCACACGTGATAACCGCTACACTACGGAAACTTACGTCTAGATGTCGAAAATATGTAACACAATCTAACATTTTCATTATTAAAAAAATTACTATTATGATAAAACATTTAAAATATTTATAAGCTACTACAAACCTTAGACGCACTGGCACTCGAAGGATTAAAAATATCACGAACAACAAAAACAATGTTAAGAAACGCGCGCGCCCTCTGGTGTCGGGGCGGAAAAACGTTGCTAGTATAAGCTTCAACCACCTTTTATACCATCACAAATTGTGTATTCCCATTGACCACCCGCTGAATGTGTTCATTACTTTCGTTCTATCATTGCATGGGAGTGGTTTAGGTGGCGCAAATTTGTAATCGCGCTCGCACCCCTTTTCATCGAGACATTTCGACTTGTACCACGAAACTGCAACTCAATGAACGCTATCGCTTGTTCACTGTACAAGTAATGCTAAGAACGGGAATAAAAAAGATCAATTCGTACACGACATGCGATGTAAAGCTATTAAAATATCAAGAGGTGTAGTGAATATACAAAAATGCTATTCCAAGGAGAAAATATACGTCAACATAATGATTACAGTAATATAAGTCTTCGCAACCTAAAATTACATTCATCTTATATTTGCACATTCTATGATTTGATTTTACTTAACTACTAATAAAAATATCACAGATTTTTTTATTACACGAGATTTCCATTCCACATTTCGATATCTTAATATCGACGCTGGAAAGCAAACACGTAGTAACCGGCAAAACCAAATTTTTCTTCAGGGCAGAAATACTTTTTTTTTATCGATAAATAATTCCTATAAAAGTTCATGGTAACAAATAAGGTGTTCCTTAGACAATTTATATGGAAATAAGATTTTTTTTTTTGAAAAATATAAATATTTTCCTCTCCAAATGTTCATTTTGGTTTTGCAGGTTACTACGTGTTTGCTTTCCAGCGTCGATAGGTTTACATCGCTCCAAAACTACTGGAAGGATTTAAAAAATTCTTGCGTCCAAGTGAAGCTGTATCATACGCGAATGGCATATGCTATAATTTACGCGGGCGAAGTCGGAAAACAGTTAGTTTTTCATAAAAAATTCTACGCTCAGATCACTTCGTTTATAAATGAAGTTAATTTGTTCGGCGTCTGACCTCCCAACCATACTGCACCAAGAGGCCAAATCGGATGTGGCTACCGCCAGTTGTGACCAATAAAATCCCAACAAAAGCAGTCATCGCTATCATCAACGTATTAATATAACTGTAGGGGACAAGCTTTCCACCATAGAAGGAATAGGGAGGATATGCCATGACCCTCCGCGCGGGCCCAGCAGAGCGAGCTACAACTCTAGCGATAGGACACGACATCTTAGCTATGTTATAGCGCTGTTTTGTTTCATTTCCATACTTTAACATGTATTTCATAACGAAAAACGAATGATAAAGAATGATGAATATGGATTTGACAGCAGTGTTTATAATTTATTTATTTATTTACTCAAGGCGCGTCCACATCATAAATACAAAAATAATTTAGTTAATGTATATGACACTCATCTAGAATTTATGAGAGTTACAAATTTACACAGCATTTGTTAAAATTATGATATTCCATATGCGTTTACATTACAATATTTATTTAATTACAATAGAATTATAATATGTAATGATATTTTTACAAGATATTGGAGTTAATTAATGTATTATCCTACAAAAATATAAAAGTGATACACAATACAGAATAAACAAATACCAAATTATATTCAAAAGTCAATTATTATATGTCAGATGTCAAAATAATCAGTTTATATGTTATAATTAAATTAATTCTTAACATTTATTTATACCAAATTTTTCCATGAAAAGACATATCAAAGTAGTAAACGAAACGAAATTTCGTTATAATATTCGCGAAGACATCGTATGCTATGGCTAGAGTTCGGCGGTCACCTCAGTGCGGTTTGATGGGTTTCAAAGCCTGCAGGTGCTAACGGGATGGCTTAACGTGCCTTCTGGAGGTTCTGGAGGTGTCCGATATAATATTGGTGAAAGGATGGGTAATTAGTTTCTCCTCGCAGATAAAAAGCGTTAACCAATGCACCATCGGGTTCTTACTCAACTCCCACAAAAATAACAAAAAATCACAAGTCTCGCAATGCAGTTATTTGGCTTAAAAGTTGTAATGTTGAATGTAAGTAACCCGTGGAGGTTAGTTCAGCAGGCCAATATTGTTTAATGTTTACGTTATAATTGCATCTAGATAGAATCTCAACTAGTTACATTTGTCATTGTACTGTGTACCTAAACTCCAATAAAATGATTTACCATTGTACTATCTACCAAAATTCCAATATTATTAGTGCAATGTCTTCCTCACATCACAATGGCGACATATATATCATATTATTGGAGTTCAGGTAGGCAATACAATGACAAAATGCAAGTAGTTAAGATTCCAACAAACTTTATCAGAATAGGCATGCAGTACCTACCTTTCTATCTTCTAAGTATCTATCAGCTATTCAAAAGCAAAATCGTTCCCAAAATATTTTGCGAAACGCGAAAATATGATCAATATAAGAATGCTTTTCGAAGCCCTAAACGGCCACGAGGCACAGTTTGAGAAACTGTGGTATACTAAATAGAAAACTTAAGACAGATGCGTTAGATATAAAACGTCCTACATAAAAACCAAGACGCCATTTATAATTAACTGCCAACTAAAATAGTAAATAACTATACAATTGACATGGACACTGATGGTCGAATTGACTGATCCATAAATAGTCCAAACCCGGATATAACTGGAATTGCTGATTTATGACGATTAAGTTAATTGGCTTTTATGACAATGTTCACATTAATGCTGAATGCTGTAGAGATAAATCTTACAATGTTATACAGCGGTCATAAGTGAGACAACTACTAGATATCATAAAATCTCGTGTCATGATGTACTCTTATCATTGAGAAACACCGAAACCGATGAATGGATTTTAATAAAATTACACTTGTATCTAACTAAAAAGATACTATATTTTTTCTCTCAAATCAGTAAAAATTATTATTATTATACTCTTTATTGCACTTAAAATTTTACATAAAACAAGTAAATAAATTTGTTACAAAGGTGGGCTTATCTCTAGAAGAGATCTCTTCCAGCCAACCTAGGAGTCGTGGGAGAGTAAGATGTAAGCGGGTGATAGAAGTGCAGTTAAATTATATTACGGTTGGAAAATATATATATATATAATAAATAACAAAAATAGATATATATAATACATAAAATATACACTACATATATACATACATATATAAGGTACGATGAAAGCTGTGTCATGAATACGAACATTGTTCCAGAAAGTAGTCTTTAAGTTTAAATTTGAAACACATGATGAAAGGGCAATCCTGAATATTCAAGGGAAGTCTGTTCCATAGTTGAACACCACGAACAGAAAAGGATTAATTAAATCCATAACAATTACCGAGCCATACTCTTTAACAACCACATTAACGCGTGGCTGAGCTGAGTCGGCTAGTAAGTAGACTTTTATCTAATCTCAATTATATTCATATACCTTCTTAATTTAAATAAATCATAGATTTACTTAATATTCCTACGTATATCTAATATACGCAATTAGAATATCAGATTACCAAAAAGTATACAATTATATTATAATTGATAATCAAACAAACTTATCAAGTAAAGTTCCATCAAAATTATATGAGCAGTTTCATTCAATCAAGATGTTCACGATTCACTATTCATAGTCTGAATGAGCTGAAATGCAGGTATCACTATTGGACATCTACTGACTCCTGACTACGGCTTTCAATCCCGCAGTCTAACTTTAATCTCAGTATTAACGTATACGAAATAGAGCATTTTCAACCCCACAGGGATTGCGGGATTGAAAGCCCTGTTTCTGACTTACAGTATAACTTGCATCGTGAATCAAAACATAAATTGAAAATTTTAGGTACGCTGTAGTAACATGATATACAATTATTATTATTCGTTTTCCAGTAAGCTCATTTATCGAAAATGAGCGTCGAAGGGGTAATGGTGTCGTACAACTATTCAGAAGACGAGGAACACGCCAATATCCTCACAGTATCAGCATCGGGGATCAAATTCTCCAACCGATGGGTGTTAACTCACGGCTCTATCCTATCGCCGTTGAAGCAGGCTAGAATAGTACAGAACGCGAAAGGCAAACCTATATTGAACGACGATTTCTATAATAATCTACCAGAAATATACGTAACATGTGAAAAGACTACGAAGAACGATGGCAACATGTATGAAGCTGTTGAAAAGCTGAGCCGAGACAGGAATGTGGAAAGTAATGATTTTGAACATAGCAGTTATCAGATCAGGGTTCTAACCGGCAGGTATTTAATTAAAATTTTATCTTAGTTAAAAACACAGACTCAGATTCCTATATCCTTCCACATCTCATCATCATCATCATCATCACCAGCCCTTTTATGTCCCCACTGCAGGGACTCAGGCGTTCCTTATGGATGGTTATGGAGGATGGGCCATGACCCTCCACGCTAGCCCAATGCGGATTGGAGGGTATTACCGACTGCAAATGCAGCCGGGACCAACGGCTTAACGTGCCTTCCGAAGCACGGAGTAGCTCGAGATAATATTTTTTTTGATCACCCTTCCACATCTGCATTCATATTAATTATATAGTATCTTTTTCATACGCTACTTAAATATTAAACCATATCACATGCATTGCTCAGAGTCCAATATGTATCTGAGACAATAAAGGTACCACAACACCCAGATCCGAGATATACGAGTAGTAAAGTCTAGTCGAGTAGGAATCCAACCGGGACGGCAAAGATGGCGACCTTTTGAAACCAGTTTGTGATCCAGTCTGCTACGGATGTCGTCTTATTTTATTAACTATCTATGTCTGTTATAAGTACTTATGAAAGTCTGAAAACCATGCAATCTACGGTTCCCGAATATACGGCCTACGAACCAAATTCTGACTTTATATTACGAGTATTTTACCTATTCGTTTCGAATAGGGATGACAACTCATTATTGTTTGTTTGTTTATTAAATACGTATTTTTTTTGTGTGATAAATAAATTATGGCTATACATTGAAGTGAAATGTTGCTAATGTCACGCTTTTGTACATTTTCTACAAAACTGTGACGTAGCAAGCTCTTACTCCTCAACTTTAATGCCTGTTATCTAAGACGTAAAAAATATGTAACTCAATTTTTTTACCCAGTCGTCATCCTTATTTTTTGATATATTTTACGATGCATTCAGTAATTCTGCTAACATACAAACCGTAAAGAACTGCCAAAGCAGACTGATTTCTAATATTTTCACGCTTACTATTCATTAAATGAAACTACTTAAAAAGATTGCAGCGCGTTTGCTTTGCTTTCATGATGTTTCGAACCCTTTACAGTTTACGTGTTCTACCAAAGCCTACAAAATGCCACGACAACGTCATCAATAATTGTACCTACCTATTAAATTTCTCTACTAATTATGAGGATAGACTATAGAATAATTGTACTCCTACCTAACGGATATATTAAGGTTTAATGACGCCTTTAAGCTATAATCAATGTCAAATTTGTATGGGTAATGTCGCTTTAAACTAATGACAATTTAAATGGACGATCGTGCAACTGGCTGTAAGACTCCCAGAAAATATTATTACTGCATTTAATTTCCGAGCTCGTGTACCTACTATACAAATGTTTTCAACAAACTCTGTTTGCTGTTGCAGGATATGTCACGTGTGGCAGTGTCCTATACTGGACCGGTGTGTTGATGATATACTATACAGTTGGACTATAGGTCATCGGGACGGGGATGTTCAAGCGCAGACGCAGCTCGGGAAAGCACTACTCTCAGTATTCGTATTGGTCGACTTGGAGAGTGATGACAGAGGTAAAGTAACACTTCCGTACTCATATAATTAGGGTAGTGTTTTTATTTGTTCTTCCTAATAAAATTAATAATTAAAAAATAGAATAAAATAAATGTTTAAGGGTGCTGCCATACGACAAAACGAGTTTTTTGTTCACGCACTTGGCCGGTATTTAATGAAGATAAAAGAATAAACTTTAACTTGATATATAATTCATTTGAAAAACACGGAAGTGTTATATAAATAACAATTAGATATTACCTACATAAACCTGGCAACCAATAGATTGCTGCGGCTAAATGAGAGCTGGCAACGTAGGGTTCACAAAAAAATATTTGACGGCAATTTATCAACACAATTAGTTACAAAAAAAATATATTAAAAATAATTGTGACTAAATTTTGCCAGGCAAAAAAAACCTAACCTAACTGTTGATTTAAGCAGTGGCTTAATCTTAAACATGGACATCTCAGCTAACAAACAAATACGTCATAATTCACCTTAGCGATAATACCTAGCTCACACAGAAACTTTTGTTATAACTGATAGATCACTGTCTTGGCTGAATGTACGTTTACAAAATCAGCCTCGAATTTATGTACGGGCTAAAAAATAACAATAAAAGATCGAGTTTTTATTTTGTTTTTATTATAAAACAAATACGATATTATTTATTAAAGAAGAAGAATATACTCTATGGCTATTTCCTTGGTTTGCACGTGTGTATCATAGCTGAGGACAAACAAGAATTACGTAAATATGATAGAACTAAATTAGATCCGCTTGTTCTCGCTCAAAGGATGTGCTTGTGCGTCTTATTAAGTACAGTCAATAGAACGTCGGATTATACAAATCTGTCTTTCATCACTTGATTTCAAACCTTAAATCATCTAGGATAGAGTTGATAATCGATTACGAAAATTTGACAGTGGAGGAATATGCCGTTCTGCTGTGTGTACAATGTAGAAATTGGTTTAAAGATGTCTAAAACTACTTTATATGAATAAATTCATAGAATATATTTTATTTATTTATGTGTGTGTTAGGAGTTCGAATTCCGTCGCAAACTCCTGAATCCGGCGATTTTTAGCGGTCAAACAATGTTGCCCTCACATCAATTTAAAAATGTCATCTTCTCAAAGGCCCCGTGTTCGATTCCCGGTTGTATTTTAGTACCTTCGTTGTTTAACAACACGTTCTCTCCCTGTTTTAGATATTATTAGGCGTATCCTGCAGAGGATTAAAATTAAAGTCACACGCTGTCAATATCGTTCAAATATTATTTTACTAGATTTTGATTGAATGAGATTATTTATCATTTAATCTAACTCCAAGCAATAATATTAGAGAGTTATTGATTTGTTTACGCTCGTGTATTGACGTTAAGTCGATATTTAGCCTATCTATCCGTTTGGTTATCCGTACAATTAAATTACAAGTGCGGTTTAACATACATTAAAAGCATACATCACCGTCGATCATTTATATCCTCCTCCTTTTCATATCATGCTCAAATAGTATCATGCGTTAACATAATTAGGAAAAACAAAAGTATGCCATGTTTGTTGAATAATAAATTATGTTTATGCCTTAAAATTATATGAAAATGGACAAGAAACCGACTCGGCATGCTGTACATCGACCAACGAAAACGACGGGCCATATGAGAATGATAATATTAAATAAGCAGAACTTAATACCATCTCTAGGATCAGCCACGAGTGTGTAATCGTTCCTCCAGCTTTGCACCGTACCCATATGAGCTGGCCGCTCCGGTATAAACGTCCAGCAATCGTCGACACCAGTTTTCTTGATTATGCCGATCGCGCCCAACGCTAAACCTCCTAATAATATTGCGTGCTTTGAACCGAGATACGCTGCTAAGATAGGACCGCACGCGAATCCACCTGGTGAAAACAATAATATACTTATGAATGAAGCTTTGTTTCAAGCACAAATGCTGTCCTCAGTGGTGGTATGAAGAAAATGAACTTTCGCAAAAGATTTAACTTTGTTTGCTTTTTCTTTGACTTTTGACATTTTGACCATGACACACTCTGAATTTGAAGATAGTTAATTAGAGAAGTCATGTCTAAGTTACGGCCCGACATCATTAATTTTACCATCGGCAATCTAGACACACGGCGGGATACCATCCTCATTCGGCGAATTCCCTAAAACTCTGCACAAACGCTTCTCTTCATCATTTATCCTACGTTCTGCCAAAGAGTGGAATTCTCTGCCGGCGTCTATATATATTCCCGAAAACATACAACCCAAATCTATTCAAGGCGAGAGTGATTAGGCACCTACTGGACTCATTCACGCGCCGCGGATGGATTGAAATCAAGAATGAGCTTCTGTTAATTTGAGTTTGACACTCTTGAATTATAAAGATTTCTTCTAAAAAGGTATCTCAATTTGTCTTAAAGAAATATGTTCCGTATCTTACCAACGAAATAATTCAACTCATCGTCCTTTTCTCTTAAGTGCTGTACGCCATTAGCTACTGCCGCGAACGTGGCGCCCATCAATCCCAAAGGCACAGTATGAAGCAGAAACCTGTACACATCATAATTCCAGCATTAGTAAAACCTCAAACCCAATAACAAATTACATAAGCTCATTTAATGAGCTATCTTGTTATTGTTCTAATTTCTATGGGAAACTTTACAAAATGTTATAATAATAGATTTTGATACTCCCAATCTCCTTCTAATCTTTCTTTCCAACTGAAGACCCGTGTTTGCCAGTCTTGCCATAATTTTGCATCTTGTTGATCATAATATCCTAGACAATGCGCGACCCAAATATAACTGTGTATATAAATTGTAAGCTAAAAATTTGTTTTTGACAACCTCATCTCTCTCAAACACTTTTCACATACCGTCTGATAACATTCCCAAATCCGACAGCATGGGAATACATCATCACGTCATATGCGCCTAGAATCAGTCCAGTGGTTACACCGTATCGAGTCGTCACCATTATCTGCAAAGAGACACGATGTTTTTAGTTCCTTTACTTTACAGTCCCTCATGATAAGCTGTAATCCTATATTTTTGGACTAGATAATGATGACATAGTCTATTACTTTTACATGTGTTTGTTAAGTTACACATTCCTTAACTAAATAAAATATATTATCTCCTTTCTTTACCTTTTTATCAACATCACATCCATCAGGTGTATCATAGTACCTGTAGTAGTTCCTGGTGACTTTGGTCTCGTCGCATTTGCATTCCTTTTTACTCATTATCAACTTTTATTTAATAGATCTTTGTCGAAATCACAGTATTTAGAAAATTTTGAGGGTCTCCTATTTATTTTTAAATCAAAGACAGTTTGAAATGGTTTCAACTTTGACTTGCTTTGACTTGACCAGACATTTCGGCAGATTACGTGTGCTCTTTGGATTACGTTATTATTACTTATTAGAATAACCAAAAAGTTTTGATTTGAGTTTTGACTTTAATTTTGATTTTAATTTTAACCTTTACCTTTTTTTGCCTTGAGATTCTTCGTAAGTTTTAGTTTTTATCCACAAAGGAAAATTAAACATACATTAAAAAATACAATTGGTGGATTTAATATAAAAGATGATGATTTTAATTAAATAAATCAGTGCGTAAATCGTTGTTGTCCTTACCGTAATATCGGGTATATAAAAAGACAAGAAATAAAATATTGGGTTAAACGCTTGTTAAACCAAAGAAAACAAAAAGACATGGTCAAATAGTATCTGTAATATGTATATCTATACTCAGAAACAAATCAGGAACTTATTATTCTTCTCTAAATGAGTATTCGTAAAGGGAAATCCGAAAAATTTGGGGATTGTTGTTTCACGTAGGTAATTGTTTTATTGACTAATGAAATGAGTCCGCCTAGGTCATCCGCGATCCGTATGCGAACACCGTCGGCCAGTGTAACTAAGCCGCTTAAAAAATCTCCTTGACTAATAATTGCCTTAATATATCACTATACCAATATAAACTCCATGTCAAAAAATAATAATAGCGAAAACAATATTATGCCAAAACGGTTATGTTAAAATACCTATATTAAGAATATAATAAACATACATAAAAAAAAACAACCATCTCATTTGCCCATACAACTAACTCCGGTCAAATGAATATCAACTAAACCTTAAATTTCTTACAGCATTGAAAACACTAAGACCGCTATCAGAGTTGCTGGACATTGTGCGACCACCACCACAAAGAGGTTCTACTATTGAAGTTCATTCTACCCCCTTCGGTTGTGAGGTACATCTTGGTTTATACATAAAAGTATAAGTATTCATAAGGTTAAAGCCGTCTTTCACTTATTAGAGGCCCTGAGCATATAAAGATAATGGGATTGGGGCTCCAGAACCATAAAATAGCATTATTTTGTTAGAATAGACAAATAACGTATACATGCATAATAATAAATTTTGCTTTATTTTTACTTCTTTGCGATAATACTAGATATTATGATAAACAGCTAATAATATAGTATTTATAATGTAATCCACACTAAGTAACTAGCATCCACGATTAGTCCTTACACAATTATACATACATGTGTGCAAATTGAAGAGGTTCTTTATAATAATAATAATAATAATAATCATTTTGGATTTCAATTTAGCAAAATTAATAATCACATTTTCAAAATCCGTGTTTTCAAGCATATATATATACAAATATACAAACTATTCAGTCTCTCTTGATTTAAGCATAATATTCGGTCAAGAATTAATTAGCTCTTAATGTAATTTAGTTTAAAATTAAGTAGATAACAAAGTTGGTCATATATCATTTGGTAATAAAGTTAGGATTAGGGGACCCCAATCGATCGCGAAACCCTAGATACGTGGCCATTGTGCCCAGTACAGAACATAGAAAAAAGTGGGAAAAAAATAATCTGCTTGTGACACCAAGCAGACAGAGTGAAAATTTTGCTAAATCTCCGCAATATATCATAAGATAACTGATGTATGTTAAGTTTGAAGATATTGCTTTCTTTCATACCAATTCGAAGATATTGCTTTCTTCCTTTTGAATAAAATATCCATGTGATATAATGTACGTAGTAGTAATAATAAAACATAATTAATCGCTATCCCTTTAACAACCTTTATACTTATATAAGTGAATAATTTGAGACACCAACATTAATACCAGTCGTATCCTGTGTGAACTCCAATAACAGTGATTCTGAAACCTTTTTGGCGATGATACCCTTTTGGAAGTAAAAATTTTGCACGAAGCACATTTGATCATTGCACTTGAACCTCAACATTATGCTTTTTTTCTTAATTTGAGTTTGTAACCAGATGCTTTTGAGTAACTTTGATCTAAATCATTCAATTAAATCGATGTCAAAGCTCATAATGAGCATCCTGAGTTTTGTAGGTATTTTTAAATGCAGTCACACGAGGGTCCATTTGCGGTGTGGTCGGGAAGAGGCCGTCGTTACTTCTCGCCGATGCAGCGACAGCGCTCGGCTCTGAAGGTGGTCCAGTATTCACAGAAGGACCAACGTAAGTGCTACTTCTATTTAAGTATATCATCACACCATAAGATTGTGAAAGACGAGTTTTGACCTCCTTCTACATCCTTTCACTTTCGCATTGTATGTTAGCTTACGGTCAGTTGCACAAACATTTATTAAGGTTTAATGACGCTGTTAAACTTTAATGAATGTCAAATATGTATCGGTAATGCCGCTTTAAACCAATTACATTTTTAATGTACGTTTGTGCAACTGGCTGTTAATCATTATTTGTTAATCCATACAATATTTAATTTTTCGTTAGAAATGTCTCTACTATTCTAAAATACAGGTGACTAGTAATAAGTCAAAGCTTCAAGTAGTATTAAACTACTATTTATGCAAGCATCTGAACACTCTTTTTTAATCTTCATATCGTCTGCGACCTTTACTCCGCAGATTCTATGTAACACTCCCATTTCCACTTCGTTTATTTTACTTAAGAGTCTCCCTCATTTGGAACATTTGCCTAGATTTGATTTTAACATTACATTACTACGATGCCTTCTTATTTGAAGATTTCACTGTAATGTAACATATCAGAGGTTACAAATTGTATCAAGTTGTGTCGATTGTCTTCTCTCGCTCGAATCATAACTACTAGTGAAAATACAAGTTTCTGTTATATGTTCGAAAAATATGATCCATTTTAACTTATAAATATTGAAGAAAATAATTTTTATGGCACTAATTTATAAAATAAAACGCTTTGAAAACTTGTAATAAGTAGGGAAAATATATTACAAATTAATTACATAAAACGTAACAACTTTCATTATGACACATATGAACATAAACGCACAAATAACAAAGATATTACAAAGAATGCCCTGATGCCCAAACTTTTTCATTACCGTTGCACTGAGTGACGTCAGTTAGTGCCTTGAACTTGTAAGGAGCGTTTCCGGTCGACTAGCAGCAGTTCCACAAATATAGCACCGTATTTCCGAAACCATTAATCGCAGACATACTGTAACTTCTGCATTGTTTCTCATATATTAATGGACTATTTATTTATAAAATAAAAAAATTACAAATTGTCATTGTAAGGTTGCATAACGTTACATAACATTCAAATGCTTCAGGCGAGATATCACCCTTACAATTCCTCAGATATCAGCTCTCGCTTTTGCTCATTAAAGTTAGTTATTTATTTTCAGTAATGAACTGATAGGTGCAGTGGTGTGCAGCGTGTCGTGGTGGCGCGGTGAGTGGGTGGGGTTGACTCTAGCGGCGCCGCTGGCGTCGGTGCTGGGAGCCAAGCTTAGAGTAACCCCACAGACGGTACCACGCTCGTTGCCGACCAAACCACAAAGTGACATATTAGGTGATTTTTTATTAACATAAAAAGGCAATTTAGTTACAATAATAAAAAATACTATCACGAACGAGTCTGTAGAAGATTATAAAGAGCCCTTTCATTTGATGTTTCATTCGTTGTCAATACTTTTTAATTTTCTAATTTATTTTCCGTTTTTCGGCACCAATTTACAAGTATAATAAATAGTATTAAAGAATCAGCTGTGTAAGACGGACGAGCACATGTATGATCCTGTAAGAGTTATCCGTTTTTATTTTTCTTTTAGGTATGGAACCTTAAATGTCCATAACATTAAACCAATTTAACCTTAGGTTTCTTGTCCCACGAACCCATAGGTAATCAATTCCAAGCAACCGCTAAACAAAAATAAATCAATAATAAATTTTGGTCACCCATCTTATGACCGGCCCATGAAAAAGTTGCTTAGCAACCATATCGCAGACCGAGCGCGCTAAACACTGCGCCACCGAGCTCCTTGGTTTTAATTTACATCATAATAGTCGTGGACCCCCATGGGCCCGTAGGCCACAGGTTAAGATTCGTCGCATTAATTATATACCAACAGTGTTATTAATGAACATGGTTTAGAGTCAGAGTAAATTTATGCTAAAATTGCAATTTTAGTATTAATTAAAATTATACAGAGAATAAATAAACCTACTTCCTTCTAAGAGTAAATATTACTCCCGTAGAACCTCGTACTAGGTTAACCTTTGCCAAGTCTCGGTTTAATAATATGAGTTTTGACTAATACTAAGTGCTGTCTCAGCGTAAACTTACTCCAACGCTAAACCTTGTTTATTAATAACACTGGTTATGTATTTGTGAGGTAGACGTAGTGGACAGCACGACGGTGCTGGTGCGGTGCGGGGCGGCGTGGGGCGCGGGCGCGTGGCTGGGCGCGGGCGCCGTGCTCACCGCCGCGCACGTCGTCAAAAACGTAACCTACACACACAACTTATTTACATTACTTGATATGTCCCAACCAGAGATGGCCAAAATGACAATATATAGATCGTAATTTTAGATTTTAAGATTCATGTGCAATGAATATATAATATAAAAAAAAAACCGATTACAACACGTGTAATTTTTAATCCTGGATGAATATGACTGGTCCATCATCTTTGCCCACCATTCCCGTTATAATTTTCTCTTTCTTTTCTGTTACCTTCTTTATGTCCTTCTTTTCCGTCTCTTGGACCATCATGATTTGCACCGATCAAACGAGAGCGAATATCAACAACACACAAATTAAAATTACACATTAACTACATCGAAAAAAGTTGTTTATCTACCAAAAAACATGTCAAAATACTAAAATAAAGCTAAATATCGCTAAGATGTATCCTACCTATGGCTAGAGCAGGGGTGGGCAGACTTTCACTAATGGCGATCTATATCAATAAATTGAGACGACAAGCGATCGACTTGCAATAAGACAATATTTTTTTATGTTAAATCGTTTATTGTAGGTATTGCGCACATATCACTATTTAAATATACTTTTATTTACAATTAAAGAAGTACAGTTTCTTATTATACAAGTTAATAACTAATAACTACTAAAAATAAGTATGAAGCCAATCACATGAACTAAGAGTGTTTTTATCAGTTTTCGGGCCTCTCTGGACTGATTTACTTAGAGGTCGATGCATGGCACTGCGTATTTTCTGCTAATTTCTCATAGGAAGGCACGTATTTAGTAAGTGCCAAACGTAAACAGGAAGACAAATGTTCGTCGGTAAGTCGATTGCGGTATTTGGATTTAATTATTTTCATTTCAGAAAACGCAGATTCGCACAAATACGTCGACCCAAACAAAGCAGTTAATTGCTGTGCGATTTGTTGGAGACTTGGGTATTTTTCTTGGGTCAAAAGAGACCAAAAACTGATATCTGTTGCTTTGGCTTTTAGGTGAACATCTGAAATGATCTGTATCATCTCGTTTTCGAGAGAAGACAAATCCATGTCAAAAGTGTTCGATATTTCAGAAGCAGTAATTTCAACATCCACACAAGAAAAAGGATAAATCATGAAAGTAACAACGTTCGTCAATTTTTGTAAGTCAGAAAAACGTCTTTCAAACTCGCTGAGAATATTTCCAAGTTCTGTTTCGTATTTATTATAATTTATTACGGCGCTTGTTTTTGCTTTCAAACACGCAAAATTTTTCAAGTCCTTTTTTTTCAGTTGGTTGATCAGAAGCTGCAATTTACTTTTAAATGAGTTAATTGTGCTAATCATGTCCATAATAGTTTTATCTTTCCCTTGTAGCTCCAGGTTTATAGAATTCAAATGACCAGTCACATCAGTAAGGAAAGCCAAATCACACAGCCAACTTTCACTTTTAAGAATCTCCGTGTCATCACCCCTTTGATCCAGAAAAGAAATGATTTCAGGTAGTAATTCTTGAAACCGTTCTAAGAACTTTCCCCGGCTCAGCCACCTTACGTCTGTATGGAGCAATAAATCTGTGTGCTCAGATTCGCTGGCCTCCAATTGCACTTTGAAGAGGCGTCGTTGCAAGCTTCTGGCTCGTATAGAATTTACGATCTTCATAGTGATGCTCATCACATCTGCCATGTTCAGTACTTTCGAACACAACACCTGCTGATGAATGACGCAATGAAAAGAAAAAAAAGATGGGAAGTCTTCATTAGCTCTGCACAGTGCCACAAATCCATTAGTCTTTCCAGTCATTGATGGTGCTCCATCTGTTGTTATGCACACTAGTTTATACAGAGGCAGCTCGTAGTTTTTCGCAAAACTTAGAAAAGCATCGTATATGTCTGAACCGCGAGTGGTTTCTTTCAAAGGTATGATTGTTAAGAACTCTTCTTTAGACGACGTATCTGGAAATGCCATCCGAATAAACACACATAGCTGGGCAGTGTCAATCATATCAGTGGATTCATCAAATTGTAAAGAAAAGAATGAACATCTCATAATATCACTTTTTAGCTTTTGCTCGATATCACTGTTCATGAGCTCAACACGTCTAGTTACAGTCCGACGAGACAACTGGAGCTCTTTTATGGCAGACATGATTTCAGTTTTATTTTTAAAGTCGCCAAATAATGAATTTGCGCCTTCGAGAAATGCTTTTTTCAATACCTCGCCATCTTCAAAGGGTTTTTTGTGTTTTGCCAATATATGAGATATTTTGAAGGACGCAACTGTCGCAGCTTCCGATTGTTTACTTGGCCTGGTAAACATAGCTTGCTCGGCCTTCAAGCTACCTTTCAGATCTTGAACTTTCTGACGTCTTATTTCACTTTTGAGAGGAAAATCACTTTCGTAAATTTTATGCAAGGATTTATGATGCCTTTCTAAGTTGCCGCGTTTAGGCAAAGCTACTGAAGCTCGACAAACAAGACAAATACACTTGTCTTTCACCATGGTAAATAAGAATTCTTCTTCCCATTCATCGTTGAAATGATAAGTTTTACTTTTTTTTGGCGCACTCATTTTAAATAATAGTTACCAACTTCACTCTCTCCTTTAGTTACCCTCAGTACAAAATATATTCATGAGCAGCACGAAGTCACACGATCACGAAAGTTATTGGGAAACATAAACAAGTACAGAATCCAGAATCACGACATGACGTCTCACCGAAACCAAAATCTGTGCGAGACTGGCGAACACGTGCCGGCCGTCGGCAATTGTCAAAGCAAAGTAAATCGGGCGGCAAGCATAAAGCTAATTCGCCGCCCGCACAGGTCAAAGGACGCCGCCGCGCCGTTTAACGAGCCGACACCGGCACACGTGCACAGTACAGCCGCAAATAAATCTGGTGCCTTCTTATTTCATATCGACATTTTCGCAGTGAAAGGTTGTTTGTTGACAAGTATTTTCTTCTTAAAGTTACGCGCGTGTAAAATAAAATGTTTTTTATGAACGCACTTTAGATACTGGTATTTTGACTGGTGAAAAGACCACTGTTATTGGAATTAGCCCAACACGTCAGTACATTTTTAGGAATGCGATCGACCATAGATTCCCTTGCGATCGACCGGTCGATCGCGATCGACCGTTTGCCCACCCCTGGGCTAGAGTCATTACTAGAGAATTAGATAGCTGCACTCTGAATAAGCTTATATTTAAAATTGTGTTTGTTTTCATCAAAGGTTGTTTTCATAAATAAAATAAAGTAATAATATTTTTAAACTCACACGATTTGTATACATTATAATTATATGCAATCGGGTCTTGTTCGTGCATTTTTTAAAACAATTAATTTACCTCGACGTTTCGGCTACGTTACAGCAGCCGTGGTCACGAGGAGACTGGAGAACTGGCGGGTGTCGTCTTCTGATTTTAGTTGAGGGTAATCCGGTAATAATGTTTTTAACTGATTTTCAGATGTACCCTCCACTTGATTTTATTATACGTAAAGGTGGTGACACACTGCACTTACGGTATCCGAGAATATTGTTCGTGGTTGTTTGCGATCGCGACACTTATACATTTTTATAACCGGATTCCACGTTGGTGAGAGTTTATATCCACTTTCCCGGTTGAAATTGTTGTGTTTTTTGATTTCAACCGCTTCACGAACAATCCTTGGATAGTAATGTCGTTCAGTGGAAAAGACATGAGGTGTATGTAACTCGATCCAGTGGTTTGATCCAGATGATAATAAGTGCTCTGCAATCGCGGACTTCTCCACTTGACGATTTTTGACCGCTGCTATGTGTTCTCTTACACGTTCGGCGATAGTCCGCTTCGTTTGTCCGATATATGAACTACCGCAGCTGCAGTCAATTTTATAAACGCCAGGTTTTTGGTAAGGAATACTATCCTTTGGTGATCGCAATTGGTGTGACATTTTTGATAAAGGAGTAAAAATGGTGTCTATAGAAATTTTTTTCCTCAAAATGGAACCGATTTTGTCCGTTACTCCCTTAACATAGCCTAAAAATGCCCGTTGCCTGGGAACCTTAGGTAGTCTTTAAACTTGAGGACTAATAAGGACCTTCTCGTTCTCAAGGCCGACAAAGGCAACGCTACCGTCGTGATAAATACTAGCGATTACGACTCCAAAATACTTGCTCTGTTGCAAGATGATAACATATATAAGCCGGTATCGTACGATCCAACTGCGAGAGTTACAAGGAGAATACGTGCTGTTATCAGGGATTATAAACACCTTTTCACCGAGGACATCTTTGAGAACCTATACAAGCCGAAGATAGTACAACCACCAAAATTATACGGATTGCCGAAAGTGCATAAGGCCAGCGTTCCACTGAGACCGATTGTGAGTCAGATTGACTCACCTACTTATTATTTGGCAAAACACGTTGCTTCCGTACTGCAACCCCTTGTGGGCACTACAACATCCTTTGTGAAGGACTCGCGTCATTTTGTACAGATCCTTGATGATACAACACTGGATCCGGATGACGTAATGGTGAGTTTTGATGTTGAGTCGCTGTTCACCAAAGTTCCAGTTAAGGACTGTCTAGAGGTTGTTAGGATGAAACTTAGACAAAACGATATACCGGAAGGGTACATGGTTCTATTACGGAACTGTTTAGATGGCAGCTATCTTCTATATCGCGGCAAACATTACCTTCAAATTGATGGTGTCGCCATGGGTAGCCCCGTAGCGCCACTTTTGGCCAATATATGGATGGAACATGTCGATTCATTGATAGATTACCAGTCACATGGGATCCGTATGTGGAAACGGTATGTAGACGATGTGTTCTGTATCCTGAAGGGCGACAAACCGGAGATTGAGCAGTTCCTTACACACGTCAATAATATCCATCCGAATCTCAAGTTCACCTATGAGTTAGAGAGTGACAAAACCTTACCCTTTCTGGACGTTAAAGTCATGGCGCAAGCTGATGGGTCCCTGAAACACACTGTCTACAGGAAACCAACACACACAGACAAGTACCTCCACGCTTCATCTCATCATCATCCTCAACACCTACGTTCTGTGGAGACAACTCTTATTAACAAGGCTAACGCATTATGTAATACTGACTTCTTAGCAGATGAGTTGCCCCATGTACAGGACGTGCTAAGGAAAAATGGATACAGCGCAAGGAGGTCATACCCTATCCGAAGGTGTAAGGAAAGACTACCTAAGGTTCCCAGGCAACGGGCATTTTTAGGCTATGTTAAGGGAGTAACGGACAAAATCGGTTCCATTTTGAGGAAAAAATTTTCTATAGACACCATTTTTACTCCTTTATCAAAAATGTCACACCAATTGCGATCACCAAAGGATAGTATTCCTTACCAAAAACCTGGCGTTTATAAAATTGACTGCAGCTGCGGTAGTTCATATATCGGACAAACGAAGCGGACTATCGCCGAACGTGTAAGAGAACACATAGCAGCGGTCAAAAATCGTCAAGTGGAGAAGTCCGCGATTGCAGAGCACTTATTATCATCTGGATCAAACCACTGGATCGAGTTACATACACCTCATGTCCTTTCCACTGAACGACATTACTATCCAAGGATTGTTCGTGAAGCGGTTGAAATCAAAAAACACAACAATTTCAACCGGGAAAGTGGATATAAACTCTCACCAACGTGGAATCCGGTTATAAAAATGTATAAGTGTCGCGATCGCAAACAACCACGAACAATATTCTCGGATACCGTAAGTGCAGTGTGTCGCCACCTTTACGTATAATAAAATCAAGTGGAGGGTACATCTGAAAATCAGTTAAAAACATTATTACCGGATTACCCTCAACTAAAATCAGAAGACGACACCCGCCAGTTCTCCAGTCTCCTCGTGACCACGGCTGCTGTAACGTAGCCGAAACGTCGAGGTAAATTAATTGTTTTAAAAAATGCACGAACAAGACCCGATTGCATATAATTATAATAAAATAAAGTAACTTCACTTTTAGGTGTACACACAAAAAAAAATAGCTGTAACTGCTAAAATCAACCAACACCTTCACAATCACCATTATTGTTTCAGTACACTACGAACAAAGTGTCAGTATTCTGCGGTGGTGTAAAGGGAACAGCTATAGTACGATACAAGACGAAGGATGATAAGGCGTTCGACTTGGCGGTGCTCTACACCAACCCTGAGCAATGGAAGCATCTGATACCTGCTGTGTTTGCAGATGAACCAGCCGAGAAAGGTACGTACATTTTAAGATTTTTTGACGCTTTCTTACCTACCCAACCTACTAAAACACTCTAAACCTGCCTCTTACCTTGTACACACGTCTGCACTTCAGGTTATCACAATATATTAAAATTCTCTAGTTGGTTTTAAACTATCCACCACCTACCCAAAAAACATTAAGGTTTAAAATCAAATTAAGAAATTTGACAGTTTTATATAACCTAACATATTACTGTATGCATTATATGAAATTGTAGGAACCATAATGTTGAAGGTGAGGTCCTACTGAATGATGGAGAAAACTGACAAGGGAGACTAAAGGATAATTATCTCACTCCGAGCGAGGTGTTGTTAGCCCGAGGACCGCGATTCTGGGGTTAAACAAAACTAGGACCATACCTTCAACAATAAGGTGTAAGGAACTTTGTAAGGAACCATATTGTTTGAATAATTATACTTTTTAATAGACAAACCATTGACAAGTCTGTCGCCTAACAAATACCTGTAACATAGATTATCTCGTACAATAATTTTATATTAAGTCTTAATCTATGAAAGAAACTGTGATGAATTACGCCCGAGTTAAACCACCAAACAGTTTTCTAGGTTTAAGTTTTTGTCTAGGGCATTATTTGGGTGCTGAACTAGGGTCCCACCAACTTGCCATGCGCTTACGATTGTCAACACAATGCGATTCAAAATTCCTTCATTTGGATGCCTGTTGAACAGTCTTGACACGTACTTCGCGCTTGCGATCATTGAGTTCGTAGGGTACTTATTTGTCAAGCTTTTTTACCTTACCAATTTGACGCAAATGTACTAATATTGTATTGTTGCTAACGTCGAAAGCTGTTACTAATTTAGCCGTAGATTGAGTTTCATCAGCTTCCACAATCGCCTTTAATTCGTCAATGTCGACCAAAGTTTTCGAATATTTGAGGTCAAAATTTCCAGAACGGAAGCGGGCAAACCAATAACGGGTGGTGCATTCGTTTGTAGTGTTCGCTCCGTAAACATCGTTGATGTTACGTGCCGCTTGTGCCGCATTGCTGCCACGACCGTACTCATACTTCATAATTACTCGAATTTTAACTTATCCATGACGACGACAAATGATCGAATGCGTTGAAAACAAAACACATGACGATTAACAAATGATGATTTTAGAAAAAAGAACTTTCCATGTTTTTAAAATAAAAATTGATTTGAAATTAGAATTATCAGCCAAATAAATATTTTGGTTTGAATATTTGAATTTGATACGGCAGAACGGCAAATTCATAGGTAAAGACTTATTATAAAACCTTTTCAACTTATTATAATACCTTTTCAAACTTCAACTTCACATTAATTATTATTTTGATAAAAGAAACAGTATTTCCCTTTGGGGTTGTGGTTAACCTTTTAAAGGATGTTACCCCTGATCTATTACTTAGAAGAAAATTAACAGTACCCTTATCTATTTTGTATTTCAATTTAAAAACCAGGTGAATCAGTGTTAGCGGCTGGCTACCCATACTTTAATGAAAAGAATCTAGAAGACCTCAAGCCCACCGTGACGTCGGGTCATATCAATAGCGTCTCACCTTCGATGCTGCAAACCTCTTGCTGCGTACAATCGGGATTTAGGTAAAATATCTGCACGAATATAATATTGATTTATTGGTACATTAATTTATTTAATGAGCCATGTTTGGCATAACCATAAAATGATCTAACACTCAATAACGGGCACCACCGTTTTCCTACGCAAAAAAATGGAGATTTCTTGCATATAAAATCTATCGATTGTTTTACAGCGGTGGACCTATATTTCGGTTGACCAAACATTCGGTAGAAGTCCTAGGAATCATCGTCAGTAACGCTAAAACGAATACAGGCGCCTGTTACCCATACATCAATATGGCTGTACCGGCTCGGGCCTTCAAGAAACTGCTACAAGACTTCGCGATAGACAGAGGTATGCTAGACGATTGAATGTCCTGTTTGGACATTGAGCAATGACCACGCTTTATTATTGCTTACGCACTCTCTACTTCTTACTTCATGAGGACTATAGATATACAGGTACATTAATGTATGCAAAATAAGTTACCGCCTATGATACTATACCATGAACTGATGAATAACTTCAAAAATTTCCTTGGGCCAAGTTAGTAGCATTAATACATCTATTTTTGCATAGGAATTAATTTTTCTAATCTGTCATATCTGAATGAGGATGAAGGGATAAGCTACGATTACTTAAGAATTTTAATATTTTAACCCTTCCCTCTTTCCAATTTTACTTTGAGTGAATGCGATCTGTATTCATCTTTCTCATTAATCAGCTATTTATTTTTTTGTGCATTGTATAACGTTTTTATTCCTATTATACTTTGGCATAACCGTTTTGCTATAATTGTTTTAACATAAAATTACTTTGCCATTGTTCTTTAGCATACTGTTAGTATTTGCATAATTATCTTTTAGATATTTTTTGCGTAATTTATTACACAAAGCGAGCTCAGCAACGGCCAGCGAGCGTCTTATATGAGTTAATAAAATGCTTACTGATGTTATGCTTAATATATTATGCGTAAACATAATAAGGACAAACCAAAGTATGCCATGTTAAATATTGTCTTAAGATTTAACCGGAGTGATACCACGGCCTCACAGAAAACCGACGTGAAGCAACGCTTGCGTTGTGTTTCGTCGTATGAGTGAGGGTACCGGAGGCCCAACCCCTCCCTATTCCCTTCCCTCTACCCCTCAACCCTACCCTCTAAGGCCGGCAGCGCGCTTGTAGCCCCTCTGGTGTTGCAGGTGTCCATGGGCGACGGTAATCACTTACCATCAGGTGATCCGTCTGCTCGTCTGCCATAAAATATATATATATATATATATTAAATTTGCAAATAAAGAATTTACCTGTCCACCACTTTATTATGTTAACAACGTGTATATTGATCGTATGCTTATATTTCTTCCATTGAACCCGATCTAATTCATTTGCAGATACGACGAAACTCAAGGCCATGGAAAACAACAAGGAAATAATACAATCACAGTGGCGACTGTTGCCTTATCGCTCTAAGATTTAGTTGTTAATTTAAAAGGTTGTGGAATATTAAATAGTAAAGTAATTCATGGCAATGGTACACGTACAATCTTGATATTAAAGAAGAAAAGATTTTGCATAAATAAGCAGCGTCCTGAAATAACTTCTTTTTATTGTTTTCAAGTTTGGTTTCTTATTTTTAATATTTTGTCTATTACTTTTTTTTATTATGACACAAATTAGTCTTTTGACAATATTTCGGATATTAGTACGATGAGAATTGGTTGTATGTATAAAAAAATGGCGTTTTAATAAACTCTAATGTTATTAAGAAATAAATTGAAAAAAGCTAATTAGATAGAATATGTAAGCTAAATATTTCAATAATAAAGCAAACCTAATATACAAACTTGTGACATCATAATCTAATTAACCGTATTAAGCGCCACACGCGAGCGACAAAGACAAAAACGTTTCTCAGTCCAACCCCACCGAATAATAATTGAATCATCTATATTTATTACGTATAATTCAACGTGTAGTGTATATCCGATTCTTGTCGTTCTATTCTGATATTCTGTAAAATCAACGGCGAAGATAATGTCGAGCACAACGCTGTTACAGCAAAGAGGTTCAATGATAAAATTCAATTTCATTTATTCAATCTAGGCTGTTACAAGCACTTGTGAAAGTCGAAAACTGTGTCATTGGTTTGCAAAACTACGGCGTGAGACCATGTACTGAGAAAAACTGGCAGAAAAGCTCAGTATGGACTGCTTATTTCTCCCTGTTTTATTTCACGAATATTGGAAAATATAGAAAACTAACTTCATTAGACCTATGTTCTCACATTCCATTACAATATCAGAAATAATAAAACAGATTGACAAATCAATATACAGTATTCCTTATAAAAGAAAATGGACGAAATTAAGTGATCCAGAACAGACTCATCCCCACTGGCAGCACCCGTTCACGAGCATGACGCATGAGCCATGCATCGCTTCGTTCATCCATATTTTAGGGAACGACCCGACGCACACGACACCCGCGTGGAGATAACTACTCTAGGTACTTATGCAGTGAATAAAGGAACCTAGTTCTCTCACATCTATCAATGGCTTCAGGACATAATACATAGGTACAATGTTAATATGTAACACCATGCCTTTTTGTCATTTAGATATTCTTTAACGGTATAATATCCTTAATTTTGGAGACAATTTTTAATACGACTTTTAAAATAATTTAGTGTCAAATTTAGTACATCACTAGGGATCTTGTTAAATTTCTGTATATTGACCCATGAATGAACCTAATACTTTCTGTAACTTGTAAGAAGGCGTTACTGGCTTGTTTTTATTTCTAGTGTTAAGTTTGTGTTCATCACTATGCTTGGTATACATATTAATATTGTTCCGGACAAAAATTATATGATTAAAAAAAACGCTAAATTGCTAAATTATATGATTAAATAAAAATGCAACGGTCAATATTTTGATTTCTTTAAATTTTTATCTGTGATAAGTGAGCCTAATTGATAGATGCTTTTATTGTAATATTAATATTATAAAGGCGAAAGTTTGTAAGTATGGATGTATGGATGTTTGTTACTCTTTCACGAAAAAACTACTGGACGGATTTGGATAAAACTTTACAGCAATATAGGTTATACATCAGAATAACACATAGGGTACTTTTTACTGGGAAAACTTCTCACTCCCACGGGATACCGACTTCCACGCGGACGAAGTCGCGGGCGTCCACTAGTTGTAAAATAAATATAGACTCAATATCGGGTGCCGTTCACGACAATATAATATCATAGGACATGATGCTGTGAAAATAACTAAAGTACACTGTCCGGGCAGTTTCTATATCAGTAATTTGCCATATTTTTCGTATGGCATGTGCAGCTGAGCTGAGTTTACCAACTAGTATAGAAATGTGCAATGGAACCCATTGCAGTTTTGAGTCTAGTATTATGCCCAAAAATTTTGTTGAACCTACTAACTCTAAATGTACGTTGTTGAGTAAAATGAATTTTATAATTGTACCATGATGACATGATACCGATTTCAAAAGCTAACAAAGCTTTTATTTGATTGAACCTCTTTGGTGCGACTGCACTGGACGCTGCGTTCGTCGCTGATTATTTTACAGAATATTAAAGTTATACACGTTATTAGTAACAAAAAATGGGTATTAAAATTCAGTATATTAAAAATTATAATCAAAATTTGTATTTCATTTGAGTATTCAATTAATTAAATTGATTTTTAAATCATTTGTATTTAAAACAAAGAAGACTGAATACGTTTAAAAAATTCTATGAAAAATATTTCTGTATCAAAATTTTTTATAGTTAATACCATTGGTATTCCTATTTTTAATGTGTCATGTTATAGATTTTTTTTCATTATTATTTATTTGTAATATAACTTATCTGACTTTATCTTATTGATTAAAATAATTGTAAAATAAACTGTTGTATTTGTAATTTCTTTTCGTTTCTTATTTTCCACAAATAACCAAAAGGCTATATAATAAGGCCAACTGTGACGCCAACTACCAAACGGAGTGTCGTAAAAATGTTTAAAAAATTATATTATTAAATTATATCTCAATTATATTAGATTAAGGTAGCTTATGGTGCCCTAAACTTACTTTCTAGAATAGTAAGTTTAGGTTTTTGAGATCGATATTCACTAAAATGTTATTATGGCTTATGTGCATATGTGCAACCTTACCCGTAACATATCCACTGCCACAAACTAACGCTAACAGTTAACATTCCGTTTTTATGGCTGTGAAAACCTGTGGTTGATTCAAACTCACAAACCTAAACCAGTTTTGATCCTGGGGTAAATTGGTTGGATAGGTAATTTTCGAGAGATGTCTTTTAGCTTGCGAAGTTGCAGTTGATACTTTCCATACTTTCAGACCAATTTTAGACCTCTTCAAAGTTTCAATCAACAAGACAGCTTTAAAGAGATATATTGTAAGGACTCCTTGCCAAGAAGTTTACATCTTGCAATCTAAAAAAGGATGCTAGTTTACTTTGACAATTATATTAAATTTCTCTATGATTACATAATTCTAACCCTAAAGCATTGAACTACTATTCCCTAAAGTAAATCTAAGTAAAATTTAAGTAATCCTATATTGTGACTGATAGTAATTTGTAAAAGTGATTTATAAAAAGAATGGCTCGAAAAGGACAGGTTTCAATTCAGGAAAATATAGAGACCAACGAAGAATTCGCCGATTACTTGAGGGCAAACTTCAATAAACTAATCTGTAAGATCATTTTTCTCCATCAACATAATCTCTACTCTTCTAAAATACTCGTAATATAAACAAAAACGCTTCCCGCTGTCTGTACGCTGCGATCTTTTAAAGTACACAACAGATTTTAACACGGTTTTCATCAACATACAGTGATTCAAGTGGAGGGTTTATATGTATAATCTTTAGAAATAATACATGCATGAAACAAAAGTAAAAAATACATATTTCTATTCACAAAATAGTGCCCGAGCGAGGCGGGCTTGGGGTCGCTAGTTGATTACCTCTATATCGCCCACTGAATAGTACAGTGGCACAACTCAAAAACCATTTTTTCCGAGAAAACGCCACAACATTGTGGTGGTATCCCATAGATAATTTAAAGAAAAAATAAAAAACTTAACAGTAATAATATAATTCAAACGATTTAACTGTTATGCTAAACAATTTGATTTTCATAATTATAAATATATTAAATTTTCATAACTTCGGAGAGCTTTTCTCGAAATATGGTTTTTGAGTTGTGCCACTGTAGTATTCAGTAGGCGATATAATCAAAGTCTCCACTGTTATTACTACATACAAATTAGATTATAAATATCTAATAGAAAGTATGATTGTATGAATTCACTATGTGGTTATGACAGAATAACAGAGGCTGTGGATGCACTCACCATCACTTAGTCGTAAATCCTATTACTTTGGATTTCAATTTGTATTTATCATATAGAGGTATCTGAGATGAATCATCACCACCACATCACCAGCCCTTTTACGTCCCCACTGCAGGGGCTCAGGCCTTCCTTATAGATGGTTAAGGAGGATGGGCCATCATTCTCCACGCTGGCCCAATGCGGATTGGAGGGCATTAACGACTGCAAATGCAGCTGGGACCAACGGCTTAACGTTTCTTCCGAAGCACGGAATAGCTTGAGATAATAATTTTTTTGGTCACCCATCCCGTGACCGACCCCTGCGAAAATTGCTTAACGACATCGATCGCGGGCCGCGACGCTTATCCATTACGCCACCGAGCTACTCCTAGCTAGCTACTCTGAGATGAATAAATGATATTATTATTATAATTAGGGTTTAACCCATCGCATTCAGCGAATTCACATCAATGGCTGTAGAATGTAGATGGATTGGAGATATCTCTTTTAAGTTGTATTAGACATCAATGGAACTAATAACAAAAATACTGAGTGAATATACAAACAAACAAATTCAAATAAATGGGTTTCTGTAATATCATTTCATTGGTCAAAAATAGTGACAGCCAATGACCACTCAATGAATAAAAACAACAGAAATCGCCCACATGCAGCCTGTACCGACCAATGTAAATAAGCTATCACATCTAATGTATGAAGCCGGGCTCAGAGAACACCTTGAAAAATACCGGTAGATAAAGATTTAGTTACCAGACTTTCCGAAAAATGCTCACACGGAGTGGGATCCTTTCACGTAATTTTCAAGCAAAAATATGGGCAAGTTTTGTATACCGTCTCTGCCGAGATCCAATGTTTTCAATAATGAGTTATTACATCTAATGTTTGTTTATTTTAATTAGTATTATTTTAGATATTTGTATATATTCTAATGCATTTGGGTAATTTGATTATTGAATAGTACCTATTAATTTTTATGCAAATTGGTTATATAATTTTTTAATTTATGCAATTTTTTATGACAATATAAGTAGATTCCATTTTGTTTTCGACTCTATTCTATGTATTAAATGTACGTAATAAAATCGGTACTCTGAATAGAAACCATATGGTTTTTCTTTGGTTAAAACCGAAAAAGGTAAGGCCGTGCCCTTTTTAGTTTTATGCTCGACGTGGCGGAGGCACTTCCGATTTCGGTTAAAAATTTCCGTAACCCAAAAAACCGACCAAGTGTGAATCGGTCACATGCACGTAGGGTTCCATCAATATTGAGCAAAATTAAGCAAAAGAAAAAACACGTTTGTTTTATGGGAGCCCCTCCCAAATGCCAAATACATAAATACATTTTCAAAAAAGTCCACTCCTTTTACACACGTATATTTATATGTGTGTATGTACGTATATATTCGCTGTATATATGTAATTATGTGTAATGTTATTTATATTTTAAGTATGTTGTAGTATATTTATGATTAGTTTAGCATGTGTAGTTGTAGTTTTTTATTTTTATTGCTCTGTACCGCCATCGCATTTGTCTGTTTTCCCAAAGGTTGACTGGCAGAGAATGCTATTAGCATTAGGTCCGCCTTTTGTACCATCTTTATTGGTCAATAAAGTTCAATAAATAAATAAATATACAAAAAATAAAAATGTTCCAGGCATGGAAGTATATTCTGAATTCTGTGGACCCTGTTTAGCAACTGGTAATGCTATAAGGAAAGGTAAACTGGAACTCGGTCAAGATAATATTGCGATGGCAAAGGTATGTGTGATTGAGTAGTTTGATTAAAGCGAACATTTAGTTGAATCCTCGAGCGTTTCTCGAGTCTCTCGATTTCGTCATGCTACGCTGATGAACTGCCCAGCAGTAGCGGCAAATGTTATTTTTGTCCAGAGCGGCTATCAGGCTAGATCGGGCTTTACTAACGTATGATATGATCTTACAGCATCTACATGCGAAAGCAATGAAGAAGTCATAGGTGGGTAATACATAGACTTTATATTAAGAAATAATAAGTTTTCCATGTTTTTAGGCATTAGCAGATAACATAGAAGCACTTGAAAGGTTCAAATTTAAAAGTGAACCGGTATTTCTTTTCATTGTGGTTAGTATATAAGCTTCAATTTTTAAAAATCTGTAATTAATACATACGTAAATAAATTAAATTAAATTAAATATTAGACAACATCACATACATTGCTCAGATTCCAAGATGAGTAGCTAAAGCCCCCGTATTATGGAGTATCTGAGACAACGAAGGTCACACAACACCCAGACCCGAGGCAATATAGACAAGTTCATTTTCTACATTGGCCCGACCGGGAATCGAACCAGGGACCTCAGAGATGGCGACACAGTGATATAGGAAACTATAGACCTATTACACTCATACCAGTATTTTCAAAAATATTTGAGAAAGTAATGGCTGAAAGGTTAAAATCATTCATTAATAAACATAGTGTAATCAATAATAATCAATTCGGATTTCAGGAAGGAAAGTCTACTACACAAGCTTGTTTTGAATTGTTAAAAAAAGTAATTGAATCTTTAAATAATAGAGTCCCTGTAGTGGCAGTATTTCTTGATATGTCAAAGGCTTTTGATAGTGTGAATCATGACATATTAATGAAAAAACTTTTTGACTATGGCATGAGAGGCTCAGCGTACAAATGGTTCGAAAGTTATTTGAGAAATAGACAACAGTGTACAGAAATAATAAGAATGGAAAGTAATATCAAAGAAACCATTCGTTCAAATTATCGAAATATAAAAAATGGTGTACCACAGGGCAGCATCTTAGGACCTTTACTCTTCTTACTATACATCAATGACCTCCCTGATATAACCACAAATGACTGTTTCTTATTTGCTGATAACTGTACACTACTGTTTCAAAATAAAAATATTGACCAACTAGAAAACAAAATTAATAACACAATTTCCAATGTAATAGAATGGCTAAACAAAAACAATTTAAAAATTAACATATCAAAAACTAACATAATACAATTTCATACAGCTAAATCTAAAAGAATAAACTTAAATATACATTATAAAAATTCCAATATTGACGTAGTAAGTACAGCGCGGTTTTTAGGCATAACTCTGGATGAACATTTACACTGGAAAAATCACATTGATAGTTTAGCTACAAAAATAGATAAATTCGTTATAGAGTCAGAATAGTCGCTTCTAAAAATATAGCCTTACAAGCATATCATGGATACGTGTCGTCCTTGCTACGTTATGCTGTAATAATATGGGGTAATAGCGTGGATATGAAAAGACTATTTATAGCTCAAAAAAAATGCATACGAGCAATATGTGGTATAAAAAGACGTGACTCCTGTAAGCCTATGTTTAAAGAATTAAAAATATTACCTTTGCCTTGCATTTATATTTGTGAACTGTGTTTATTTGTAAAAAAAAATCCACAATATTTTACTAAAGTCAGAGAGATAAAAAAAGACCCACGAAGTTCGAGACAAAATAAAATTGTTATTCCGAAATGTAATTTGACATTATTCAAACAAAATGTATATTATATGGCTATAAATATATTCAACAAGCTTCCATCGAAACTAGTAGACTTACCGATTAACAGAAACATTTTTAAAAAAGCTTTGACGGAGTGGCTTCTGAACAAATCATTTTACTCGATACAGGAATATTTGGAATGCAAGCAATTTTAGTAGAGTAAAAATCGCTTATAAATAAATAAATTATTATATACAACGACACTATAAATAAATTATATACAATGACATATTTTATAATGTGTATGATAAAATTATTTTGTAATTGACATGGATTTATGTATTAAGCTTGCTTGACTTATTATTTTTGTAACATATAAATTGATTCGAATTTTGACATTATTACTATTACTTAATTTTAAACTATAAGACTGAAATAATATGTAATAGGAACTAAATGAAATGTTTTTTAAGTGAATGATGTGCGAATAAAATAATATCATAGTTAATGCATGAATAGATTAAAATGTAAATTTATATAACTACTAAAACTATTGCACACTGTCAAACAGTAAATATGTGATACGCTTATTTTATGACATCTGTTACACCATATTTTATGCAATAAATGATTGATTGATTGGTTATTACACACAGATTTTTTGGTTATCATAATACATACGCTTTTAAAATGACTCACGTATTTACTATATACATTATAGAGAAAAAATAGTGAACAATGTAAAGATACGATTGATAATATAAATTTTCAAAGGTATCTTCGGATGTTTTTCATTCAGATAATTTAGGAAATAAAAATTGGTTGGTACTATTAATATATGATGTAGCTTTTCAGTATAATACAATTTATTTGGTTAGTTGACCTCTTAATTAATCATTAGAAAGGGCAGCTGACCCGCGCGATGTTTGGTGCCAACGGTATCGAGCTCTGTCGTTTAATAGAAGAAGAACTTCATTTGAGGCAACGCGAAATAGACACGGGAATCGTGAGGCCAAAGCAGGAAATATCACATATGCTGCCAGAGGAAGCTGTGAGTTATGATTGGTATTAATAATCAACAGTAAAAGTACCTATATAATCACAGGGGTAATTTGGAATGGGGTTATCTTTGCAAACTTTATCGTTAAATATTTCATGCTTTAAAAGTTATTAATATTAAGGGTGGGACATTTTTGAGGGTACTTATAGGAAAGTGAGTGTGGACTAATCCACCACACTAGTTTAATACGTGTCGATAGGTCGCCAGAGAATTTAACAGGCTGTGCCCAAGGTGGTGAAGTTGACCTGGATCTCGGAAGATGTAAATTGCTTGCATCAAATTCAGGCCCGGGTATAGAAGGGGGGCGACGAATGGGAGAACTTTCCCCGGGTGTCAGTGTTACGGGAGCGCCAAAATTAACTTTATACAATACCTACATACTTTAAAAAAAGAACGAGCTTCATAAATCTTTTCATACACATTATAGGCTACGGATGAGACAGTAATGCTTATACACTGGTAATATAAATGGGGGTAGAGGTGGAAGAACGGCGCAATACGAAGTTTCTGCCTGGTGAAAAAATTGTAGATCCGGACCTGATTAAACTGGTGAGAAATAGGGGAGTCTTGGATTTCTCAAATCAGATCAACAATGGACGTCCACTGGCTGTGTCTAATATGTGATGATGCCGTATGGTTGAAAGTTTTTAAGAGCTCCAAAACTGTTTATCTTTTATAACAGGCAAAACTGGAACAGAATTTGAGATTAGAGGAAGAGTACCGTGAGCAGACGGAGCGCCTGCGCGTACTTACACTAGCAGCGCGCAAGCGGCGGGTCAACGACCGGATGTCGCGAAATCTAAATACGCTCAACTTCATACTGTTCTGGCCTCACTGTCACAAGGCACACTACGATCTCTACGAAAAGTGGGATATGATCAGTCAGTATCAATTCAATAACAAAAATTTACCACACTACCACCCACTGAACTACCTGCCACTGGGTGGGGAGTATTGGATGAAATAAAAACACAAAATTGTTCGCCAGAAAAGGGATACGCATCGTACATTCATTTATAGATCACCTAGATAAAGATTTATAATATTAACAATTAAAAATAAAAAAGATAATGGGTCTCTTTTCAAATAAATAGGAAGTTACGCTGCGAAGACACGACAGATATAAGACAAAAGTTATGAATTTGTATATGAACGTGAATGTTAACATAGAAAGACTGACGAAAAGATGAATGGGCTGTACTAAAAAGATATCTGCTAGAAAGAAGCGAATGTTGAGATGACGTCTGATGGAGCAATATGAAACTGATACACTTTGAGCCGACGACGAGTATATGAATCGTAACAAAAACAAGCATATTAGCGAATTGACTTGTTTATCAAAGTTTTAAATTTTTGTTTCTAAGTAAATTATTATTCCGTTGTAGATTTGGGAACAGATGGCGTAGCTCTCGGCTTTCACAAGTGCTTGTAACAGCCTAGACTGAATGAATGATTTTGATTTGCTTGAAATAATTACACTACAATTTTTTTGTTTGAACAAGATTGCTTATATTGACGCAATAAAATAATCCATATATTGTTATTCTAGTCATTAAGAAATTTGGCACTTCTTGGTCTAAATATTTATCTACTGTTTAATAAAATAATAATTGTTATAGATGTCTCCGTGGCGGCTAAAGAAATACTACAAATTACCGAGGAAGGAGCTAAAGAAGCCTTGTACATGAGCGATGTAGACCCCAACGAGGCTTGCCTCCACGCGCTGCTCAATGGAGAAGCCCTTGTGGTTTTATTCAAGATGTCGGAATCCGATACTAGGAACTTTGTCAGTGAGTAGAAATAATATCTCTCTCTCACGTTCTCATCGACGTAAAGATTAACAGATTCTTGAATGGACACCGCGACTCGATTTCTACTTATGTCCTTGGTGGTAGTAATAATTGGGCATTTCATAGGTTTTTTTAAATATTTTTTTTCCCAGAACTGATGCGCTACGCCCTTTATGAAGAGATCCCAGTTCCAAAGGAAGATGTCCCTCCAGAGAAGCAATTGCCACCTATACCGGCGTACGAACGGTATGCAACCATCAGCAAGACTGCGAGGGAGGTCCGACGTGAACGCTACGAGGCCAGAATGCAGAAACTAGTAAGCCGCTGTTGTCGGTGACAGCCGTATCTATGTTTGATGTAAACATACTACCAAACAATTTTACTGTTTTGTCAATCAAGAGAATGCAATATTAGGTTATATAGGTACATACATAATACACGTTTTGAAATGAAAATATAAATGTTTTTTTAGCATCACTAAATATTTATATGAAATTTATTTATTCATATAAAGCACTACATATTTTAACCGTTACTTTGTAAATAGAGAGAAGAAAGAGAGGAAAGAGAACGCCTAGCTGCTGAGCAGGCTCGCATAGCTCGAGAGCAAGAAGAAGAAAGATTGAGACTAGAAAAACAACGACAAGATGAGGAGCGTATGGCTAGAATACAAGCAGGCGTAAGTTATTTTTATAGTTGGATTACATTTTATGATTTTAACTATATTAGTATACTTACGAAGACCGCATAAAAAATCCAAAAAAAAAAACACAATTTAAACAACCGATTTTCCTAAAAAAGCTTCATCAGAAAACAGCTTCATGAGTTTCTACCTCGTGTGTTCATAAGTTTTGAGACGAAATAAAAGTTGCGTAACTTATTTAATAATTAACTTATATTTCCAAAAATTTCAGTAACCATTAAATAACCGCAAAAATATTTAAATTATAAATATTATATTTAAAGAAATAAATACTTTTGCTCTTTGACTGTTGCCTCTCAATACATCGATGAAAATATTATGTACGCAAGAAAATACAAAAAAGGAGTGTTTATAATTTTAACACAAGAAATAAAAATAAACTTGCCATTCCAAACTTCAAACTTCAAAAAACCAGAGGATCATTTCTGGGTAAATGCATTGCTATGTTCAATAAAGTTCCACAAAATGTAATTGACCTACCCGTAAACAAATTAAAAATTCATGTAAAGAACATACTTATGGGTAAAGGCTATTATAAAGTTGATGATTATTTTTAACACAAAAATGCATGGAATTAATTGCCTTCGCTTTGTTTTATCACGACTAATTAAAGGTACTAACCTATTTCCTACAGACTTTGAAAATGTATTTTAAAATACGTACTATTGACATGATTTATGTAAATGTAATTACTTATGATAAAGAGTTGCTAAGTTTCTTTAAAAATAAAAACAGTTCGTATGAATACCTAAATATATAATTACAATAGTTGAATAGAACAGATAAATACCCCTTTTTTGGGTTTCCTGTAATAAATTAACTTGGACGATTTTTCACAAAGATATACTTTTAGATTGACAATTTTCTTATTTAAATTATAATAACTTATTTTTTATATATATATAATTACATTATCATGTTCACACCAGATGATTTTTTTACGAACTGACATACATAAAGAGCATCTTGGATTAGTAAAAATTTAAAATTACGAAAGGTGAATAATAAAAAGAAATGGTGTTGAATATCAAAGACAAAAAGTTTGCATACGAAGGAAACCTAGGACGAAATAAATGGTCGTACGGCACACCGTTACAAGCTTAAGATCATATTTCAGTATTCTGTTCACTGAAACGCGCGAAATATAAGTCTGCAAAGCGAGTTTCTTTTGAGTGCGACATGAATTTCGGCGGAGTCGCTCTCGGATGATTTTGATGTTCGCAGGCGTCCTCACAGAGTGTGGTCGACCACTCCTTTGGCGATCAGAGAACTTGTCTCTTTGTATCGCTGTATTGTCTAATAAACGAAGTTACGGCTTACAGGAAAACTTTTCAGCTCGCGGAACATCTGCATCGGTTTTTTCCCGCTTTTAGCAAATGACAGTCGCACGTAAATAAACGTTTAGTTGCAATAAACAAATGAGTTTGCGATACAAATAAACTTAAAGTTAACATTCCAAATTCAAAATCGGTAAAAAAATATAAATAACAGCCAGTAACATTTTATTTTATTTTTTCATTAAAAAGTTTTGTCCCAAAACATGAACACATTAGGTATAAAGATCATTCTATATCATTTCATATAGACATTTCGCATACTGAAACGTGTTTTATACTCGTATTAAAAGATCAATGGAAAATCTAATAATAATAATTTATTTGCTTTTAAATGAGGTACATTGTAGATTGAAATACAATTTGAGTTCTGCCCATTTAGCCATCAGCGATAGCATGCAAATATTATAAGATTATAAAGTGACATTGGATATATGTATATCAAAATTATTAAATTAGAAATATCATTGTTACACAAAATTATTATAGAGTACAATCATTATTCCCACTTGAAGAATGTCAAACAAATTAAATTATAAAATCAGTACCAATATAACAGTAGATAATGTACAAACAAAATATCACACATTTAAAGACATTACACAATTCTCAACACATACATTCGTAGTTAATTTTTATGATTTAAATATTCCCTAACACTATAAAAAGCATTATCACACAACCAAATAAATAGTGCCTTTTTAAAGCTACTAAATGGAAGATTTTTAATGCTAAGAGGGATATTATTAAAAAGCACAATACACATCCAATAACAGTTATTCTGGAATTTCGCGCTCCTTGGAATGATATCAGTAACCGATCTATCACAATTTCTGGTATTGCGTGTATCTACATTTTTTGCCTGTTTAAAGTAACACATATTTTTTTTTACGAATTTAGCGACTTCAAAAATGTATAAACAAGATAAGGTTAAAATTTTTAAAGATTTAAATTTAGGTTTGCAGGGTTCATCAGGTACAGCACCACATATCGCCCTAATACTTTTTTTTTTTAGCAACAAAGACTTTTTTAATGTCTATACTATTACCCCACATGATAAGAACGGATTCTACGTAAGCGAAGTACACAGTAAGAGCCGTACCCCTAGTAGCTATCTTTGATAATTTATGAATAAAAATCGGTTAATTTTACTGCAAACTTTTTCTACCTGATTTTTTCAATCCAGTCTTTGATCAATTACTATACCTAAGAGTTAATATCTTTTATCTTTTTTGTGATCATCTATCGTAAACGTGCTATCCGTTGAAACAATTACTGATATATCATCAGCAAATAGAACGCATTGATGTTCTGTAACATTAGGGAGGTTATTAATGTAAATCAAGAACAACAGCGGGCCCAAAACACTGCCTTGGGGAACTCCGAACTTTTTTTCCTTGAAGTCGGAATTATATTTTTGTGCTACATTATAAATATCCAATTTAGAAACTTCCACAGATTGGATCCTATTTCTTAAGTAAGTTTTTATCCATTTTAAAGCTATGCCTCTAATGCTACAGTGCTCAAGATTTATTAAAGTTGATTATGATCTACAAAATCGAACGCCTTTGTCATATCAAAAAAGAGAGCCGTTGTATATATATTGTTATTTACTGATAGCAGTGTCGTATTAACTAAATCAAAAACAGCTTGAGTAGTCGATTTTTTCTTTTGAAAACCATATTGATTGGGTTTTAAAATTTCGTATTTATTAAAAAAATATGTAAGTTTATATAACTACAACGAAGTTTTATTTATTGAAGTTTATTTGGTAGCTGCCTGCAGAGCCGGAACCGCAAGAAACAGGAGAGGAAATAGAAGGGGAAGAAACTGAGAGAGAGACAGAAGTCACAGATGAAGTAGGTTTAGAAAGGTTTAAAAGCCTATTGGTCTATTAATTAAAGTTGCTTAAAATAATATAATAAATAATACGCTTCATCGGTATGAAGCCAGATGAGCTCGAAGAGGAAAAGGTAGAAGAAGAAGAGGTGTTTCACTCTGATGTGTCAGTGGAAGGAGAGGAGTACATTCCTCCGGGGGGTTTGTTCGTGCCAGGATTGTACTCGCCACCCAATGCACTCGCGAAAGCTAACGGACTGGCGTATTTTTTTCCTAAGGTATTTATCAGATTTTATAAATCTAGGAATGATAGAGACAATTATTTTAAATTAAAATAAATTTAATAATGATTTTGCGTCAATAATTTTACCATGAAACTTTAAAATATGAATCCCACCTAAAACATCGTACAAAAACTAGCCATATCCCGATGGAGCTGCTTATTTCTCTATAAAAAGTAATGAAATCTTTATGCGAAGCTAAGCCAAATCGAATTCTTAATTCAGAAACACCCGGTCTCTGAATTTAGAATTGTCTAAGAGAAAAGAAATTGAAACGTTACTTCAACGGTTTTTGTTTTTAGTTTTTTTTTATGATCAATTGATAGCAGTTTGTTAAATCTAAGACTTGTGAAACTTAAAAAAAAATGTTATTGAGAATAATCAGTTAAGATTTTGTAGTTTTTTTTTATCAGAAACCGTTAAGTTTGTTTACTGCTATTTCTTTATTAATATAGTTAGATTTTAGGCATTGTGACCGTTGACTTACATGTATATCTTGGTTATAATCCAACTATATAGTTAAAAAATTACAGTAAAGGCCCTTAGACTTGATTTGGCTTTACTAGAATATTTTACTTCATTTTCATTTGAAACAAGCAGCTCCGTCGAGACTTGGCTAGATTTTTACATGATGGTTTTGGTAAAAGTAACTTCCTTTTGGTTACATAACTTAGGCAGAATATTTTTTTTTATAATTTTATTTTATAGGAAATAAATAAGTTACAAACATGAAAATGTGGATTAAATATGTGTTTTAATCCTATTCAGAGATCCTCAAATAGAGGTATGATAATGATGAACTGGTACCAGAAAATGATGGTACAGCCTTGTTTACTTCGCGCTCGGCTTGGCGGTCGCCTATGCCATGTCCTGTCCTCATGCCATGCCATGTCCTCAGATCAGAAAATGAGTCTGTTTAAAATTGTATTCTTAAGTTGCTGATTTCGTGTGATGTAAAGTAGTGATCAGTCCAATTAGAGTAAACGATTTTATGAGTAGTTAACTATTACCTAAGAGATTACTTTACTTCAGATAATTCGTGTTCATGTAAAATGTACTTACAACAGTTTGTTTTAAAAAAATTTAGATAGTACAAGAGCTCGTGCCAATAGAATCCGAGTTCTTGCCACCTCACGTGCTAGTGATGTTCAGCGCGGACAAGCGGCACGACGTCCAGGAGATCATAAACCAGTTCCCTGACGAGATCCTCAATGTTAGCTGACACTTTTCTGACAAATAACACAAATCTATTTGTGTCTATTTAATAAGATTTAGTAATAGATTTTTTGCCTATGCCACTGCTTGTACTCAGGATCTTATAATCCACCATAGTGATGGCCCAGTGTGGATTGACGAGTGCTAACAATTGTCGAAACCAATACTTAAGAGAGTTCCGAGCACGGAAAACTCAATTGGACAATACCTTACTAAATATTGTCCAATGTTTACAATAGCTATAATATTCGTTGGCTCATTATTTCTTGAGAATCTTACTAGATGCATTAATATGTATACTTTTAACTCTTCGATAGAAAATTATAATAACCTATTTAAATTATAACTCATGCACAACAAGCATTGGGCATAAATATAGGTATTTTTTATAATTCCTTATTTCTTCAGGCTGGTATATTCGTGGGAGACGATCCAATGACGGCAGAACACATCGCTTATACTATAAAGCAATATGATAAAATGGTCAGATTAAGAAAGCAGTAAGTTTACTACTACTTTTTATTCAGTCTAAGTCTATCCCAAGCTATCACAAGTATTTGTGAAAGACGTTATTATTAGTAAAATAAAAACTAAAAAAAAAGGTTTAATTTAAACGCTCTAAAAAGAAGAAAATAAATTTAAATTTTTTCTACTAACTTATAACCTTATTATACACATAAGTCGTGTAGTATGATTTACTAAATATCAATTATGTAAAATCTGCTTTTTAATTTAATTTAATATAGATAGGTACTTAAACCACGCGACAGGCTTTTATGGTCATATAAATTGTGTATAATGACTTTATAAGTTGGTAGTTTAAATCTATAAGGAACATTTTGATGACGTATAAATAAAAGGTTTTTTTAAGTTTTTTTTGCTTTTTAATTATTGCTGGCCTAGTTCCTTAGTCTGTTGATATCATTCAACGCATCATTATTACAAGTTCCTTTGCCGGTAATTGCGTTAATTTTTTTAAAGTAGAAAAACTTCAATAGTTCGCCATATTGGATTTAGTGATGTCACATTATTTTTCTAATAATTTTCGACCCTTACTTTAATTTGATACTTACACTGCAGAAGTGCATAAATATTCGCTATTCCGCCATATTGGATTTAGATTAATGTCACATTCTTTTTCAAGTTGCTCTCAACAAGCCCTTTCATTTGATACACATATTGTATAAGTGGATTATAAATTATATTCCGCCATCCTGCCATCCTGTATGATAAGCCATATTGAATTTATAATGGCGTCACATTATTCTTACTCTCAGTTACTCACAACAAGCTCTATCATTTGATTGATACCCATGTTGAAAACACACACACACACCTTATCATGCATTGTCATCCAAACTAAACATGTATACAAAATTTCAGCTGTATCGGTTGAAGATATCTACTTCGAAATTGAGAAAATACATACATTACAAGTTAAATAAAAGCTTTTAAAAAAAAATTACATAGATTCTTCGAAAATCTACGGCGAGAGACTTTGAACTAGAAAGCGGCAAGAAACTTTGATTATAAAAATACGTATTAGACTATGGAGTACTATCGTTATCCACCACAATATTAAAAAGATAACAAAAAAATTGGGGAGCTGTCAGAATTCTGGAGCGTGCTTTTATTGTCAACTGTAGGCATGGGACAGCTGCTTGTAATGTAATTTAAGACCTTAAATACGGATAAAAAACAAGACCTAAATAGACGGAGAAGCATAATATTATGATAAACTGGCGTTTTGTCGATGCGTAACTATATCTTTAGTCTAGATCGTGTAGCAGTGATGGTGTCCCGCAAACGGAGTCTGCCATTGCTCCAGCTGGCTGGACTGAACCCTTGCTATATCAGCAGTGACAACACATCTGGTGAACGTGATTGTCTCGCCATGTTCCCCGTGGGATACGGCGATGATTATGAAGACGAGGAAAGCGTGAAAGAAGAAGAGATATCCGTAATATATTATTTTAATGGAGATAAAGAAACTATAAAATCAGCATATAATTTTCCAGGAATTTACTCGTATTTCTTGTGGGCACACATTTTTTTCCGAATACCCTAACTAATAGCGTAACTTTTGAATTGTTAAAGTTTATAACATTGATATATTTCAAATTGCCTATACTGAAATGCTTTTAAAATTATCGGTTGACATAGCCATATTACAGAATTCTCGATACTTATGCTTCAACTACGATGTCTATTATATTGGTAAGGTAGGATAATCACGTTATCCACTAATTCTCATGTATCCAACTAATTGATATTTAATCCTAACTTTGAAGTTTAACTTTAACAGATGGCTGTTGCAGAGCCTGAGCACGAACCTGAACCTCAGGTTAGCAAAAGCTGATTAACATATTGTAGACATAAGTATTAAAGATATAGTTATCTTTCCTAGTTTAAAGAAATATTTCCTCTGTATAATTAAGTACTATAGATTAAGAATTTTATTCTGATTACCAAAAGGCTAGGCAGATACTACATTTTGATATGTTGATGTAGGTAGACATATTTTTAGGCTCGGTAAATTTTGTACAAATACTCGTAAAATTGAGTAGCTCGGTGGCGTAGTGGATATAGCGCCGCAGCCCACTATCGTTGTCGTTAAGCAACTTTCGCAAGGGTCGGTCACGGGATGGGTGACCAAAAAATTATTATCTCGAGCTACTCCGTGCTTCGGAAGGCACGTTAAACCGTTGGTCCCGACTGCATTTGCAGTCGTTAATACCCTCCAATCCGCATTGGATCATAAATTAACCATCCATAAGGAAGGCCTGAGCCCCTGCAGTGGGGACGTAAAAAGGCTGATGATGATGATGTAATGTAAATCATCATATTTTGGAATTATTTAGGAGGAAGATAGAGAACCGAAAGCAGCTGATGAAGAAAACGAAGATGAAGAAGATGATTAGAAGAGTGATCGCTTATTTATTTTATCATTATGGTTAACTTTTTATTTAATTAAATATAAATTAATGAATTTTGATATTTTACATATTTTGCTGTAGAAACTTTGGATCGAAATGTGAACCTAATTACATGTTTAGCATAGCTAACCTGACGAACTCCAAAACCAGTTTGGTGATGCCATTCTCAAGTCAGGAAAACAGTGACATTTGGATATAGTCAAACAGATTCTCGCGTATGTCATACCACAAAATAAATAAACTGCTTGTTGATGTCCTGGTCAACTGATCTTGTCCAGGTCAGGTCATGAAGTCAGAAATTGTTCAATAACGAACGCAAAGCCCACTTACCGAGATATCATATTTGATCGGTATGAAAGTAATATCGATAACTTGAAATTTATAAAGGTAAATGAGTGATCTTTAAAATACCAAATTCGGTTAGATTGGTATCCCGAACTCTGTTGAGACTTATACAGAATTTATATAAGTATATTTGGCAGAGTTTATTTAGGTACAGGTATGTCAGAATCAGGATCACAGCCCATGACAGGATTGATGCAGACCTTCTCGCATCCCTCCATTGTCAGGAAGTTGTTCTTGTTGCCGCCGCAGCCGCTGTACTGAAACTCCTTGCACTCATCAACGTATGGGTTGTATGCGAACCTGACACAGAAAATGATTTATAAGTCACATTATTAGAATCAAATCAAATGTTTTTAGATTATAATCTATAATTATAATCTATAGTCGAGTACAAGTAATTACTTAAGTTTAATTAATTAAGTTACTTACTTAAGTAATTATTTTTATCCAATAGACGAGAATTTTAACTAAATAACAACTGTTAATAGCTAACAAAAATAGTATTATAACTATTAACATCTTAATTCTTGTTTATTCTACTTAAGTTATAACATGACTGCTTATTCTATACGAGTGTAAGTGCGTGAATGCTTTTCTCCCTCGTAAAAAAGGTTGGGTTATATCGCCGTGTCATGTCGTTTCGTTGGATTTTGATTTGATTTAAATTATATTGTACCATAAGCGAATTATCAAAGAAGGTATGAACGAATGAACACTATTAAAAAACATAATAATTACATAGTTTTAACAGTACAATCGACGGAATAAGAAAATAATCCCCAATAGGCTACATTATATGACTCCTTTTTATTAGATCTAAAAAAGTTAATATTTGTTCTACCAAACTAAGAAATAACTTTATTTTTGGACACTTAAGAAACTGAAATATTGTAATTTGAATTACGAACCTTAACAACAAATTATCTTTTCCATAATTAAATAAAATATGACGAAAAACAATCTCTTTTTATGCAATTATTGCAAAAACCCGGGGATGAAAAAGTCGGGTACATACGCGATGGTTTTCAGTCCTTAAAATACATTGACAATTTCATTACCATGTAGAGTTTTGAATCAGTAGGTTTACTGCAAACTTGAAGTTCGACAATGAACTGTTACTAAAATAAACCATGACTACAAGCAATATTACTGCTATCATTTTTAAAGTCCGTTGTAGTTTTTTTTTTTCTTTGCATTGTCGTTACAAAGGATCTACAACAAATAAGCACTTCTGTTTGACTATTATAAGTAAATATCGTAAAATATAAGTAAATGTCGTAATCATTAGGGGTTAATCAATTGAGAAAAAAGGTTTTTACCTCGACATACTCTCGTCACAATCTCCTAAAAGTGGCGGTTCGTAACATTGCGGCGGCTTGCCTAAATTCTTGGGAACATATGCCCAAGGCGGTGGAGGTATGCCGCCGTAGCCTGCCGCTAAATCTGTAATATTTTTAATTTCAAGTTGTAATTTAATGTAGCCATTATAATAAATCTGTGTCAATTAATAACCACATCAAAACTATTTGGTGTATTTACGCACGGGATCGGGGGTGAGATGTGAGGCTTTATCAGCGTAACTGAAACCCTGATTGAAATGGTCGGTTCAACGCTAGACCAATCCTGATCTGTCTGGCAGTCGGTTCAACGCTAGACCAATCCTGATCTGTCTGCCAGACAGATCATTCTGGGTTACATTTTGACAGGTCGATCAGTTTTACAGATAGGCGATAGAGCCCACTCGTTGCATTGGAAATGACTAGGTATTGAAGGTCTATATGAAAACCTTATTAATATTAGAAAAATATTTTGTATTATAATATTGATGCCAATGTCATTGTATAAAATCTATGGATTAAGTAAAAATATTTTGATAAGTGTGTTATAAAAATTACAACAAAATAGTTATCGGTATTGAAAATCAACAGTCAATACTTATCCTTCGGGATGGGTCCACAAGGGAAAGTCTGCGTAATAAAAGCGAAAAAAAAACTGCAGATGGAACCAGGACCAACTGCTTAGCGTGCCTTCCGAAACTCGGAAAAGCTAATAATATTATTTACATCACCCATTTGCCGACAGGCCTTTGGTAGTATAATATGCTAATCGACCTTCTTCATTCGATGTTAAACGTGAAACAAAAACAAACCTTTCCATTCACGCGGCCAGTCAGGTATGTCATGTCCAGCAGGCAAAGTGCCATTTTTTATCTGTTCCTCAGTCAAATATCCGGCGTTGTCCCTTGCATGCAGCTTATACTCTAGAAGCCATTCTTTCCAAGTCTCCTCTGCGCCAGGTGGGGGGTCCCATCCGTTCCATATTTCCTTGTTATTGGGATCCAACATCTTACCAGCCCCAATTCTTTTCGCATCCTCACTGCCCCAGCCCCAACACGCATATGCGAAAACAAACTTTGTGATCGGCAACAATATTAGTTCTTTTCGCATGGCTAATCAAGGAATTACAACTATCTTATTATAAAAAAATATGCAACTAATTTAGGTGATCACTGACTCTCTTTGTGTTACCTGCAGCTGATTCTTTTTACGAGCAAGTTTTTCATTAACTCCAATCAAGTAAACATTAATCGATTAGATTTAACACTGCTTTCGTTATTTTAGAATTACACCCGTTTCACGGATGAGTTGTTTGGACTTGGAAATAATACGGGAATAACATTGAAAGTTTTTAGGGTAGGCCAATAAGAGGAGGAGGAAAAAAAAAATTTAACGCCTTTAAACGGTCAATGTAAATATGTAACTAATTATATACAACGTGTCCCAAAATTCAACGATAAGCGGGCGCCAAGAGGTAGACCTGCTCATGTGTACTTATGGAAAAATAAGAAAAAAATTATATCTTATTAATCTTTTTTATTATAAAATAAAATTCGAAAATTTTCGAAAGAGTTGTAGCGAATACTAGTGCTACTTAAGTATCCGATACCAAAAAAAGTATGAACATAATTGAGAAGTTGTGGTCGTGGTAGTTGAAAATATCATAAAAGGTGTAAATTTTTGAAGATTTTCGAATTTAATTTTATAATAAAAAAGATAAGATATAATTTTTTTCTTATTTTTCCATAAGTACACTTGAGCAAGGGTACATCTTGGCGCCCGCTTATCGTTGAATTTTGGGACACGTTGTATATAGATTATATAAATATGTAGGCATAAGTATCAATTATAGTATCCGTGGTATATCGATATCTTTATGCCCCCAATAGCCCTTATTACATAAATTATGTAACGGTATTTATACTATTGTATTCATATTATAAATAAATTAATGTCTATCATGTGTTAAAGCTTTTTAAAACATCATTAGCTACACAAATCTAGATATACTTTTGTTCAGTTCGCATAGGTTACCAGCACGCGTAGCATGACGAACTCGACAACGTTTTGTCTACACTCAAATGTCACTTTTCTCGGGTGCGCCCATACTATATCTCACTCTCGACCCGAGAAAGTGACATTTGGGTGTAGACAAAGCGTTGTCGAGTTCGTCATGCTACACGTGCTGGAAGAAATTACTTTTCTGCAATATACTTTCTAAAAGCTTTCAGTATGACACAATAAAAATATAGTAGCCAATTCAAAATCCAATTAATTAACACGATATTTATTAATATAGTATTTGATCAATTTTCCATTGACAATGCTATACCGGAAAAATATTCTTAATGAATAATGCTTAAAAATTCCACTTTGTCCCTGGCATTTTTCATTAAGGATATTTTTCAATATAGCACTGTGAATGCTAAATTGATCATATATAATAATAAGAAAAAAAAATCATCTTTATCGAAAGTTTAAATATTAGTAAAATTATTTTTTTCGGCTGTTTGGGTGGATTGCCTGAACATTAATGAAAATACGCTATATAGTAGCGAAAAGTATCAAGTGCTTGAAAGATTTGTCATTCCTGTTATGTCCTGGGTAGCTCAGTGGTTAGAGCAGTAGCCTTAAATGCGAAAGATCATGGGTTCGAGTTCCACTTCAGAGTGCCAGGGACAAAGTGAATTTTTTAAGCAATTTTCAGTGTTTCTGAATGCCGAGTGGATCAATTAAAATTACTTTTATTATATTCTCACGTAAGTGACGATTGTCTTAAAGATGAGAAATTAAGATTTTGAAACCGATCCTATAGAAACTTATACGCTACTGTATGTACCAGGAAGATAAACTGATTTTATCGAAAACCCTGCAGTTTATTTACCGACTACTATTAAAATAAAAGTGAATTATGTATTAATAAATATTACAACTAGCTCAGTTGCGTAGTGGATAAGCGCCGCGGCCCGTGAGCGTTGTTGTTAAGCGCCTTTCGCAAGGGTCGGTATGGGATGGGTGACCCAAAAACTATTATCTTGAGCTACTCGGGGCTTCGGAAGGCACGTTAAGCCATTGGTCCTGGCTGCATTTGCTGCCATTAATACCCTCCAAACCACATTGGGCTAGCGTAAAGAATATGGCTCTATAAAAGTTAGTGACCGTCAATACGGATTTCGTCAAAATCGGTCCACGGGAGATCTTCAAGTGTACGCCACACATATCTGTAGTGAGGCCATCGAGAATTACGGGGAAGCACTAGCTGTTTCCCTGGAAATGTCTAAGGCAATCGACAGTGCTTGGCGTGACGGCCTTATTAGCAAGCTTCCATCGTTTGGTACTCTCTGTGACCTTATTTTTGCTGCATATAAACGATCTATTGAAACCCGGTATATTTGGGTATGCAGACGACAGCACCGTCATGGAGAGGTACATGTCCAGTCCGAGAGTGGGCCCGGCTGAAATCCAGTCTTGCAGAGAAGAAATGGTTGAGCGTCTAAACCTTTCCCTCCAGGCAGTGTCCGATTGGGGCGATGCCAATCTGGTAAGTTTCAACGCCACCAAGACACAGGCGTGTCTTTTCTCCTCCAAAAGGAGGCCGTTTGAGCTGGCCCCCGCATTCCGGGATGTAACCGTACCGGTCACGGACCACCTTGACCTTCTTGGTGTGACTTTATCTTCAACGCTCAATTTTTGCTCATACATTGAGTCTAAAGCTCAGCTAGCAGCGAAGAATCTCGGTATCCTCTTGAAGGTGCGAAGGTACTTCACGCCGGAAGCAGGGTTGGATAATCTCGGCACGATTCTCATGTCACTATAACTCTACCAAATTTAAAATGTTGCCTTATCCCTTCAAACGTTTCGGTAGTAAAGCTTTTTAATTATGTCAGATTATGATGTATTCATAATAGTCAAAATATGTAATCTAGGATTCTCATTAATTGTGAATGTTATTGCCTTTCTTGTTGTTTTACCGTAGGTATTCCGTGATTGAATTTTTTTGTATTATTTTTGTTCTCTTATAGATTTGTTTTAGTTGTTATCTTTTTGTAGTTAAGTTTTGCTAAATATGGACGATTCCGGTGCAGGTCCGAATGGCCTACAACAATTACCTCTTACATTTCAGGAAGTTTTTCCAATATCTTAATCAAAAATCTAATAATATCTGAATAAATGTTATAAAAGTAATAATAAATATTTCATTTGTTTACCTTTCCTTCCTGGGCATAAATATATCTATCTAAATTCTATTCTAATTATACTTTTACAATTAGAATTTTATCAAAACGACAGATACATAGTTATAGTTCCATATTTGCTTGGGAGTAAAGGATGAATTTAGAAAATTCTAGCCTCATCGCAAAAGAAAATGGAAATTTGCCCAACTCTTTCTAACGTTACCTAACGATCAAAGTGTCAACAAAACTATAATATATTTTTTTAGAATTTATCTTGAAAATAAAATGTTCTGCACTGCTGTTTCTGTGACCCTCTTTTTTCTAATGTTATAATGAATGGAGTATAGCCATAGGATACATCTTATTGATATTAAACCGATATTTCGTTTCATTTTACTACTCTGACACGTACATACGTACTTTAGTAACGACAAAGAACGAAAAATAATGACAATTACGGTTTTGATAGCAGTGTTACAAACTTAAGTCATTTAGCCCAATGAGGAAGTATTAAAAAAAGCACTAAAGGAGCACCTCCACTAGATGGCGACTCTACCAAAGTTGATTTTTGCAGGAAACGAGTGTATCAAAGATCGTCATTTCCGTTCCTTTTAACTAACATATTAAAAATCTGAAATTAGGAAATTTCGAAACTTCGATATAAATAAAAATACGAAAAAGTTTCAATAGAATATGAGCTATTTATTGAGTTTTGAAAACAAATTTACTTTTGTACATGAAAGAAAACCGGAAGGGTTGTCATGGAGAAATCAAGAAAGTACTGTAGCGGCATCTAGTTTGATTTCGGGAACTAACGTTTTTTTAATACTACCTCATTACCAAGCGACATGTCATTTGATATATCGTCATGACATCGCTAAGGTGAGGTATCCAATAGCTAAAATCAAGGCTAGGGAGTAAGGCGGTCGCTTGCTGGTGTTTCAGCTTTGATATCAGCACTGAATACTTAGTGACGTAGTTATAACCGGAACATTCAACCCCGCGTTGGGGCGAGTTGTTCCACGTGTGGGGCAAATTGTGCCGCTTAGATAATAGAAATAAAATAGGTTTGTTTTAAATATAACAGATATTTTTAAAGTCACTTTTAGTGTTTATTAATGTAATGCTATAAACTACAAATAAAACAACAACAAAACATTACTAGTTACATCCAGATAAACATTTTGCACTGGTAACTAAAATTGAGATCTATTAGCTTATAAATCTCATTACCTACAGGATTAATAATATTTTAGGATACAACAATTCTAACTGGAAAGAATCCTCAAGACAAAAACTTTCTTAAAACTAAAAAATATTGGCGCTTTCATAACATAACTTAAAAAAAAAACAAAAAAATATAACAAAAAACTTTTTTAACACCTTTGCTCGTAAAGCTGATGTAATTCCACCGGTTTTAAATATTTAAAGCGGGTCATAAAAAACGCGTGTGTTACCTAAGCAAATAGTTAAGTTATAGTTCATACAAATTCCATAACAGTATTATTTGCCATTTCGCGCGCTGTTGCTATTCAAATTTCGAACTAATCGCCGCGCGTCGCCAGTCAGTAGGCAGCGCTAGTGCGCTGTTAAAATGTCGGGAAAGCAAGTGTACATTCCATAGAGATAAGGGGTATGTTCCGATATACACTGCGAGCACTGCGCAGTGGTCTTACTACTGAAAAATCCGTTCCGTTATGGACTGCCAGTACACTGCTACAGTACCCTAGGGAAATTTATGACGTCATAAATTGCCGCCATATTTGTACTGTGAGCACTGGAGATTTCGAGGTAAGGTGCTCGCAGTGCTTTTGATCACGTGATCAGTCGAAACAGAATCAGAAAATGATAAGTTTCTAAATAAACAAAA